TTCACTAGAAGTGAAATCACAGCTGTTAAGTTGGTGACGTTCACCAGCACCAATTTTTTTTAAGTGGCACTTTGACAGGAAAGACTGAGCTCTTTGATTACCCAGAGTAGAAGAGATTAAGCAAGAAGCCAGTGGTAGGAGGCTTGTGTGTTCCTCAGCGTGGCTCCATTGTATTAATGCTCTCCCATCTGCATGGCTTCTGTGGGTTATTGGAGAGAGCAGCTTTCTCTGACTGGCAAAAAGATGTTTAGTGGACAAACATTCCTAGAGGGTTGGGAATTGGTGTTTAGGCCAAAGCTGACTTCGTCCTCTTTAGGATCTGTGCTTTCTGGGCTGGGGAAGCTGAGGTCAAGCAGCTTTCCCAGCTGATAACATTGTTCAAGTAATTTCTTTTTATCTTGCAGCGCAAAGAAAGGAAGTGCAAGCCCGGGCGGTGTTCTATCCTCTGATGGGCTTGGGGGGTGCAGTCAACATGTGCTATCGAACCCTCTACATTGGGACAGGTGAGTGGCTTTTTTCTGCACTGACCTTTCAGAATGAGGGTGGTTCTCCCTGGCCCTCCCTAAGGTGTTTGCCAAGTGGGTGTCAAAGGAAACAGACACATTGTGGCTGCCAAGAAACCTGGAAATCCCCCGTCTGCTTGAACCTGAGGTGGCACCCTTGTAACCTGGTGTCAAAACTAGAACAGCTGTCCTGGAGATTCAGTGCCTGACTGATGGAGAGAAGAGTTATGGTTTGCTTGCGGGTTTCGTTTCTTGCTGCTTAGATTCTTCTGGTGCTCTGGGTAGACCCAGTAGCAGTGAAATGCTCTTGAACCTTCATGGAGCTGCTCTCTCCCTTCCCCCACTGAAACTTTGTTTGGTGGCTTATCGCAGCATTATTCATGCAGTCCTGGGAGCAGGACAAAGGCAGTTGCTCCCCTGTTGTTTTGCTAATTGAAGTTTAATTCTGTCTGTTGTTCTCTGCTGCCTGACAGTTTTTTTTTCCCAAAGCAACTGAGCCTGTTTTGTCCTCTCCCATGACAGGAGCTGATATGGATGTGTGCCTTACAAGCTATGGTCACTGTAACTATGTGTCTGGCAAACATGCCTGCATATTCTATGATGAGGTGAGTGCCTGCCTGAGGTTTTTTTATTATTATTTTTATTATTTGGTGTGCATGGCAGTGGGAGCTGGAGATGCAGGCAGCAGGTTGTCTTTGTGTGGTGCTCCTTTGTGGACTGCAAAGTAAGAGCCAGGGCTCAGTGTGTTTCACTCCAGTGAAGGCTGTGTCAGCCTTTTTGTCAGACCTTTTTCTGAAGCACAGAGCTCTGCCAGCACGATTTCTCTGAGCTTACTGCCCATGGGCAAAGACTGACCACAAGTCAGCACTGTCACTGCTGGTGCCTAGGGAAAGAAAAAGTCATAGGAATGGTCTGATACTTTTTGATCCAGATGTGTTGTTAATAAAAGCTCAACTTTACATGTCAACATCGAACCTCAGCTGCAACAAATCAGGGAATTGCTCTGAGTCCCTTGTTTTCAGGTGTGATGAGGGAGCAAAGCATTCATACCATCTGTAGTACTCTGTATAAATTATTTATTTAGCTAAAATTTTGGTGAAGCTCACAGCATAAACAGAAATCTACAATTTCTCCCTAACTACAGCCCAGAGATCAGTTTGTTCTTGAAGTAAACAGACCAGCAGGCCTGCCAATAGCAGCGCTGCTGGAGTTGTCTCCTAGCATGGAAACAGTCTTTGAAGCAAGATCAAGTCTTTTATATCACCATTTGTCAACCAGCTCCTGACCAGGATCCAGGATTAACCCACAGCCAGCTTTAGCCATTGCTCCAGTGCACTACAAGCTACAGAACACACTTGGTAATGGGATCCAGACCATAAATCTGTGTAGAAGCACCTACAATGGTCAGTCCTGTATCGGGCTCTAGGCACTGAGCTTACCACAAACACAGAAAACCTGCTGGAGTGTGGATCTCTGGAAAGGGAGAATTCCCCTTCCTTGAGCTCCTGTCTGCTGGTTCTCCTTCTGCAGTCTAGCAGCTTACTTCAAAACTTACTCCCCTGTGCATGGGGAGTTTTTGTAACTTGATTAAAGCCCTGTGGTCCCTGGGGGACGAGGTCTTCAGCTCTCAGATGATTCCTGTGAGCTAACCTGAAATCTCCTCCTCTCTGTCAACATCCTCTGCAAAGCTCAGCTGAGCGTGACGCTGCTTGTGTAACGCTGCGTGTCATGGTAATGTCTCCTGGCACTTCAGCGTCTGCACAAGGCCTGTAAACCCCAGACTGCCTCTATCCTGTGGCTGCTGCAGCACGTGGCATCCCCTTTGCCAGCTTGTGCCTGCTTTCCAAAGCACGTCTCTTCCTGCCAGGCACAGGTATTGGGCCAAGTTTGCATCAGGTGTGCCCGTAAAGTGGTGTGCTTGCTTTGTGAGCATCAGCTTGAATAGCCTGTTTCCAAAAGATGCGTTGGTCCAAGTGCACTAGGGAAAACCCACTTCCCTTTGGCCCTCCTTCCCTGCCAGGAAGCAGATGAAAAGCTGGTTGTTGTGTGAGCATGAGCCATGCATGGGGGTCGGGTTTCTGGTCTCTGAAGCTAGAGGATATTTAACAGCTCTCATTTAACCATCAACAGTGGTAGAGAGGGGTTGTGATTCAGTGCTCAAAAGGGGTGCATGGGCAGAAGCCCTTCTGACTGATAGAGGGCAAGTTTAGACTGGATATTAGGAAGAAATTCTTCCCAGTGATGGTGGTGAGGCTCTGGCACAGGTTGCCCAGAGAAGCTGTAGCTGCCCCATCCCTGGATGTGTCCAAGGCCAGGTTGGACAGGGCTTGGAGCAACCTGGTCTGGTGAAAGGTGTCCCCGCCCATGGCAGGGGGCTGAAAGAAGGTGAGCTTTAAGGTCCATTCCAACCCAAACCATTCTATGACTCAATGCCTTGATTCCCTCCTCTTCCCTTTTTTTTTCAGAATACGAAGCATTACGAGCTGTTGAACTACAGTGAGCATGGGACAACCGTGGACAATGTTCTGTATTCGTGTGACTTCTCGGAGAAGATGACGCCCACTCCTCCCAGCAGTATTGTTGCCAAAGTGCAGAGTGTGATAAGTGAGTGTTGAGGCAGAGCCAGCCCCATGTACCACCACAGGGAGTTTTTGGAGGGGGGTGGGAGCGTGTGGAAATCAATTCCTTGTTGGTGCCCATTGTTCTGCAGTGGCTGGTGCACCCTTTGCAAAAAGGGGAGCCTCACCACAGGTCATGTGGGGTTACACAAGACCTTCCTCTGCAGCCTGGGGAGCTCTCTGCTCTGCTGTTAACACCACTCCAGCCTCCGGTGCTGGAGTTACCAAGCTCCAAGTCCAACCCTGAGGCCTTTCCCCATGCATGTCCTCCCTTCCCAGGCTGTGAGAAGATCTGGGCTGTCCTGCAGGCATTCTGTCCCCACGTGGCTCACTCCTCTTCTCCACCTGATCAGCTTCCTCTTTTCGGGCTGCCAAAATAGATATGTAAATGCCTCTAACTCTCTGGGACTTTGAGGAGATTCCTGTTTCCCTTAGATCAGCTGCTCACTGCAAACTGAAATACCTCATGGCTGAAGGATTTTACCCCTGAGGCACCTCAGCAGCAACCCCTGTTGATGAAAACAAGCTGTCGCTGACCTGCCTAAATCTTACCATTTTTTTCATTCTTTTGCAGAACGACATAAAAGCAGAAAACAAGAAGAGGAGCCGCATGAAGAAGCTGCTGTGATGAATTCACAGGCACAAGGGCAGCATCGGAAACCTTGTAACTGCAAAGCCAGCAGCTCCAGTCTGATCGGGGGCAGCGGGGCTGGCTGGGAGGGTACGGCCCTGCTCCACCACGGCAGTTACATCAAGCTGGGCTGCCTGCAGTTCGTTTTCAGCATCACTGAATTTGCGACCAAACAGCCCAAGGGGGATACTGCCTTAGTACAAGACATGGACTTGGAGGAGAAGCTTTCTCTGAAACCCCACCAGGTGCCCGTGCTGCGGTCCAACTCAGTTCCCTAGGAATTTTTAGGAAGAGAGCTTTTGGATTAAGGAAAACGCCCTCAGACTCTTGCAATGCAAAAATGTACAAACCGAGGTGGGATTTTTCTGTGTCGGCCCAGAGACTGTTCACACGCCGTTTGCATGATATGAAGAACGTTTAACTTTTTTTAATTTTTCTTTTTTGCTCAAGTTTTAGGGGCATTTGCACATATATTTGTACTATACATTTCATTTTAAAAGGAAAACTGCAGTGAGAGCAGGACGCGTCAGAGCGAGGGGCGACCGCTGTCTGACTCGAGGACTCTCTCTGACAGACAGTTCCCATGCAGTTGTAAAATAATCAGAAACTTGTTCTATTTTGTGCCAGTGACAATAGTTTTATATTAAAAGAGAAATACAGTTTTCATACAGCAAATCTATACAATATCATTGTTTTATTTAATGTAAAGAAGCGCTCTTCTTCCCACAGTTATTTTTTCCCATCCCTCCCTGCTATGGTTGCACTACAAGTAGCTACTGTGTATTATGGGCAGTGAGAAATGAGTTCTTTTCCTGGTGTCCATCCTATTTTTTATTTCAAATAAGGAAAAGTGTTGGATTCTGTGTAAATACATCAGTGATGGCATTTTTCAATGTTTTAAAGCTGTGTACAGTGCTACATGTGGTATGACGTTCCTCAAATTGTCTATTGTAGCAGATCGTTTGTCGTAACCTGTCTGTCTCTTTTGTTTCTCTGCCACCTCCCCGCAGCAGAACAGCTAGTTCCACTGTACATAGTAATTGTAACGTTTTAGACTTTACAGAAACTTTCCTGTATTCTGTATATAAAAAAAAAATACTTCACATTCTGTTTTCTCGACTGTCTGTCTTCACTCGTGTCACCACAACCTGGAGCTTCCCCCCGAGTGTCTGACCACAGAGGAGAGGAGCCTGAGGTGGGGGACAAGGCTGGGATGGGATGGAAGGAGCCTGATGTCCTGTAAGGGGGATGTGGTGGGATGCTGGTGGTGTGGGAGGGAAGAGGGTGAGGACTGGAAGGTGATAAAATCACAAAAACGGGTTGAGGTGGAAGGGACTTTTGAAGGTCATCTAGTCCAACCCCCTGCAGTAAGTAGGGAAGTCTTCAACTCAGTCAGGTCCAACCTCACCTCAAATGTTTCCAGGGATGTGTTTTACATCCAGTTCTGGGCTTCTCAGGACAGGAGAGAGATGGAGTGCCTGGAAGCAACCTGGAAGATGAGGGCACTGAAGCACCTCATTTAGAAGGGAAAGCTGAAGGATTGGGCCTAATTAGCCTGGAGAAGAGCAGACTGAGGGGATCTTACCCGTGTATTTGAGAAGCTGAAAGGGGGTGTGTCAGAGGATGGAGCCAGGCTCTGCTCAGGGGTACTGAGCAATAGAGCGAGAGGCAGTGGGCAGAAATGGAAACAAGGGAAGTTTCACCTCAATGTGAAAAGGAACTTCTTTACTGTGCAGGTAACTAGGCCCTACAATAGGCTCCAGGGGGAGTGGTGGACTCCCTTTCCCTGGAGATATTCACAAACTGTTGGGTCACAGTCCCAAGTGCGCTCCAGGGGCTGGACTAGGTGACCTCCAGTGTGGTTCCTTCCTACCTGAACCA